ACGGACAAACCTACGGACGAGGGCGATGACAATATGCGACCACATTTCCATGTGGGCGTATCAAAAGGTGATGTAATCGTCATCCAAAGAATTGAAAAGGAGTAAAATGGAGTCATAATTTATCATAAGTATGCCTAATAGCGAAGTCAATACCAAACAAGTTATCGTAACAGATTGTATAAATTTAATTCATCTTGTTACCATGGATACCGTTCTCTCATGTTCGAGACTCATGAAAGTGTTTTCATGTTCTTCAGCCGTTCTCGAACCTGCGCGAACACTGTTTCTAATACACTCCTACGGTACGCGCAAGCAAATCATTCAAATAAAATTGAACAATATTAGCCTCAAAATTACCTAGCGCCAGTAAGTATAAAGGATCTATCCGACAAACACTAACAACAACTCTAGGTTTATGCAGAATTAATATAACACAACATACACAGATGGCAATAGAATGAGACAGTGTTCAGGAAAAGGGCGGAAACGGAAGAAGACTACCCGTCCTACTTGATTCTAGGACATAAAGCATGGGCCTACTTGATTCGACCTTGTCTGCGATATCACCTCGGTGGAAGCGGACGTAAAATACAACTAACCCATCATTGATTCGACCAATTTAATACAAGGAAATGAATGGCATAGTTTGTGTCAAGTGAATTTAGTGAATTTTAAACCCCATTTACTCGCCCTCTCTCTACAGAGATAAATACTTTTCCTGTTACATACAATAACAATTATTGGCCATTATTTAAAAAATATATTAAAAGGAAATGAAATTCTGTTACCTGTTTTTCTTTGTGTAGTACATATGCTAACATCAATGACTGGAAAAAAAATAACGAAACTGTAGAGAAACTTCTGAATCATTGAAAGTCTAATTATTAGGCCTACACATTGATGACATTGATATAAAAAAAAGGCTGATTTGTTTGTTGTTGTTTTTTTCTTTTACAGAAATATTAAGATTACATTTCAAATAAACAACTAACACAAAAGTTAGTATCTAGCTATAGTCCATGTCTGGATATACATTTCTCCTTTTTTTTGGCCCGAACGTCTATAAAAATCAAAGATGGCGGCCAATAATTGCAACCGGGCATTACTATAAAATCAAGACAGATTCTTACCTGCTGGTCCTAGTCGGGGGTTTCTTGCAATTATAAGTATTTGAACAACGGTGTAGCGCCGATTAGCTAATAATAATTAAGCACGATTTCAGAAAAATTAAGACAGATTCATTAGATTGCTGAATTAGCGGAACACTTTTAGAACACATCAAAAAAAATTTCTTTGTGGCGCCATTATATAAATAGAATTTCGGTGCAGTCAGTGGCAGTGGTTCTAAATCTGACTGTTTTAAACGAAACGAATTATTATATACATAGAAGCAATATATACATGCTAAATTAAATACACGGTTTTATTTTTTGTAAAAATTTACAAACCTGCGGTCTGGTATTCTATGTGACCATTATAATTTTTTTTTTAAAAATATCACGGCTAAAGCACTCTGTTGATGCTAACGTCACTACATCTAACTGAATGTCGCTGATATAATATCAAAGAAAGAATTTGTCGCAATGACTAAAGTATAGATACTTCTTCTTAGTTAGTTGTATTTTACGCCCGCTTCCACCGAAGTGATATCGCAGACAAAAAGTATAGATAACTTGGAGAACCATTATATCAATAAGTCGATTATGAGATACACGTGGATGATCAATTAAATTTGATTGGTTACTTTTCAGTTAACCAATACTGTCCAATTTCGATTACATCAACCAATTACATTATTAAGAGTTTTACTCATTTTTTTTGTTCATTGCACATTGAATCAATTTTCGAAAACACCAGGGTGCTGAAAATCACATGTACACTATATATTCATTTGGTCTATCAGTTTATTGGGTCAATAAAAAAAGACAGACATTTTAACTATACAGACAACTTAACACCAATTAACATTCAAGTCTGTCTGGCAATTGTCTGATTAATTGGTACTCACTCCCTTCCAGTGATTTTCGAGATGTGAATTAAGCCCTTTATTACTTTTCTTAAAACTTGACGACTCCCGAATTCAGACTTTGTATGGAGTTTTTTTCTTAAAAAGAAAACAAATCGTGGAAGGTACACATTACTTGTGTTAATGATATGAAAAAACACACAAGATTTTATAAATCGACACAAGTTTGTGTTAATGCAATGCAAAACAACACATAACTTGTGTAGATTAGTTTTAACACAAGTACTTGTGTTGAGATCCAACACAAGTGTTTTTTCAGTGTATCTCAAAATTTTGGTGGTCAACCTCATAGAAATTTTAGTGCAAAGACATGGCCATTTGTTCCTCTGTCTGTAGTGAAAAGCATTCAGCCCAACGAAAATTTGGGGAAAAGTTGGTGGTGGCCAAAGAGGCCAGAATTAACATTGAAGTCAATGGAGAAATTAATGGTGGTCTGCCTCCAATTGTATTATAGAGTTATATATTGGCCCTGTCACCAAAACATTGTACAATACTGATCAGGTATGTTTTAAATGACATACAAAATGTCATTATCTCCAGATTAGACTTTTAGCAGGTATTTCCGTTGAAAACATAATATATCGTCTCTAAAAGTTTCGGAATGCGACTGCATGGGTCATCATTCTGTATCTCCAAATGTCTGTCATTTTATTCCCTTTTAAAAACTCTAGCTTAACGTATAGTAGGGGGTTGGATGTCCGAATGGTTAGCACGTGCGCGCTGTATCATAAGGCCTGTCATTGAGTCAACTGGCGAGGTTTCGAATCCCCGGTTGTACGTGGCAAGGAGTAGGGTCGCCTGTCCAGCCTCGTGGGTTTTCTCTGGGTCCCCCGGTTTCCTCACACTGCTAAAGACCCCTAAGCGCAAGCGGATTATTGAAATAAAATCAAACCATATGTTAGTCCCAAAATGACCTAGTTTGTGTTGAATGGACGTTAAACCCCATCTCTCTCTCTCTCTCTCAGTGTGCTATGACAGAAATTTTGCCCGGGCTGCGGCATTTCGGACTACTCTTATATCGAATTCCAACTGTCAAGGGATCTTTTACGTACGGGTCCTCTGTTTTTTTGTCCCATCCAAACGACTAGACAGCTGTCCTTGTCAGGCCCTCCGGTTCGGTTTGCACCACTGACAAGGGGAAACCACATCGGAAAATCCCGATGAACTTTCTCGGTCAATGCAGGGATCGAACACGCGACCTCCAGACTAGCGAGCCAGCGTCTTACCAACTTAGCCACCGTGGCTCCGATATTCTAAAGAACTTTGGGTATAGACCATTTACTTATAATGCAGTACATCCGGAACAATCTATTGAATCTACGGACGGCCGCATCCCTCAGGGTCTTCATGTAACCCATAACCTCATGCCCATATTGCTAACCTATTTCCAGGAACTTTTGTCAGCGGTTTGAGCATGGAATATTTTATACAATTCTTTTTTCTCCATTTTTTAGATTCTGGTTTTTAAAAGACATCTACAAAAATGCCCCACAACGTAGCATCGTCAGGTCGTCTGCCCATGATTTCAACTAGCAGACGTTCAGCCAGTGCCACTAACTTTTCAACATCAACCAGAAACACTTCCAGAGCATCTTGTCATTCATTTTTAGCCAACAGCATAACGCCGATTAGGACTTCCAGAAGTGCCAACTCGAAGTCTTCAAGGGGGTCTGTAGTATCTTCCAATTGTGGAACATATTCTGATCGTAGTATCAGTAACTTGTCTTGCGAGGAACTCACAGACTACCAGTTAAAGAGGCAGCGTATGAAAGAGGGCAAATTCGGCAAACTATTTCAAAACTATTTTCCAGAACGTGCCGAGTCCCCACCGGAGATATCAGAGCCCTCTGATGATGAACCATATGAAACTGATTTGGACAGTGATATCGGTAAGGCTATGAATATAATATAGAAATTGGAAATACGTTTTTTTTTAAAAAGGCGGGTGGGTTGTAAAGTTGGGTTGGATGAATGACACACTTACTTGATGCAATTTTGAAGGATACTAGAAATCCACTATGTCCAATCCACCAATCCACACCGACACCGAATGGTTGGATGCCGTTTTCGGTTTAATGATGGAAGTGAGAAGGAGACTATCAGCGGGAAGTATTCACTAGAGAAAGACACGGATGGATTTTAAAGAGATTTTTTTCTGGGTTCTGGTGGGGGAGGGATGCGAACCCCTGGCATCCGTCGTGTCCGCCTTTGGGTGATAATATTTTGCCTTGATAACTATGAATTTAGGGTGCTCTACGGTAGGTCCAATTGAGAAGTGTAGTAATGTGAACTTGGTTAATAATAGCGATATGAAATGAAATGGGGCTTTTCTGCACAAACCGGGAAGAAAATAAGTATTTATTTGTTAAATAGTTACTTACTGTGTGTCACGTCGGCTCAACACGTGCTTTACTTACAACTGTTAGTTAAAGCATGCAGCGATATGAAATGAAATGAAATGGCGCTTTTCGACACCAACCGGGAAATAAATAGGTATTTATTTGTTAAATATTTACCACACTGTGTGTCACCGACACAACCTGGATTTTGTTAGGTGCTGTATGAATAGTTAGAACCGCGTACACGACTCCCGCCTGCAGAATTTCAAGATCCGTGACTTACTATATCTACTTACTCATCCAACTCCACGTATCTTTATAGAACCACGAACACGGCCCAGCTCCAAGGGGCACATTCTTTACTCATTACCACCCCACGTACCCACACACAGAAACCCGCCTCTCCACCCCCAAATCCTGTCAAAGACATACCAGAAAAGGTCAGTTCATCCATCTACAGATTATAGTAAAGTTCAAATATTCCGTTATTAGTCTTTTAGTTACATTCATGGATAAAATTTTTTTTTTTTTGGCCATAAGTTCAGTTTTGTAATATTTAAACTTACAAATTCTATTCCTCTCCTGCAGGTACTGAATTGATACGGCAAGAAAAGGGGCGGCATCGTCACGAGCACGAATATAAATACGGACAGCTTTGCCAGCAACTGAAAGTAGTGCCAAATAATTTCTTCTTACGTCACGGCAAGACTGAAGAACTGAGTATGAAATATAGATATTTAAATTATGGAGATGCCACAGCCATGGCTAGTTTAATCCGGGTAAGAAAATAAACGGCAAATATAAACCTTAGGAACCTAATCATAATTATAAACGGCAAATATAAGAATTATAGAATAAAAAAAATTGTGTTAGATCACAAAGTATAACGTTCTGATAACTATCCAAATTAATCCTTACTTAAGGTAACGATGCACCATTGGCTTCTGTAGCTAAAATATCAAAGTTCTCACGCCTTAACCCACACTAATATGTACTCAGATTGATTATTTAACATTTAATTACGAAAACAAAATAAAAATACCAACACTATATAATGGCCCAGTTGGAAAACAATCGGATTTAAAACAGGTCTGTCATTAAATTTTCGTGGGCAACAAAATAATCTCACTTTTCTATTCTTTCAGTCACAAGATCTAATATCTAAGTTAGATTTATCTGATAATGGTATAGGACCAGCGGCCATGCTGTCTCTAGCCGAACTCCTCCTTTATAATAAAACAATAACAGAAGTGGTAAGAATTTGATTGTTATGGAAGTTTCTTGATTTGTCTGAATCTTTCTGGCAGATATTCATTTCGTCTCTCGGAGAAATGGGAAAAACACGAACAAAACTTGTTTTGTTTTCGACAATTAAAACATGCAAGTAAAACATCTAATTCATCGAAATACACATGGTGATGTTAAAATTCTCTTGATATCTAAAGATGTTTCAAGTCATTATCCGCCTCCAGAAAGAAAGTGCTCGTTTTAGTGTGTATTTTATGGATAGCAATACCACCAAAATATTTAATATTCTCATACAATTCGTAAATTTGTCGTGTTTATTAGCCCATAATTTCTTGAAAACACTAGCTCTCTCAAAACGCTAGTTGCAACGATCGCAATCCACATTATTACTGGAACAGAAATTATTACATCAGTTTTACTTTTGTAAGATTATATGTCACATTAATATTTGACACCAGTTTTGGAAATAATTGTATGCGGCTTTATGGCGGTGCTAACACAGGAAACGTAGCCTAGAGACTTTAATCTGCCTAATATGGAAGCCTATAACTACCATTCCTAATTTCTACGTTTCGCCCCTTCAGAACGCGAAAGTCGAAAAGTAAAAGTTACGACAAAATATGAGGCGACAGCCAAGATCGAAACGAAAATGGGGAATTATGAAGTAAACACACCGCGATAATAGCGCCCCTTGTTTTGTCGTGACTTTTACGACAGAATGTGAGGCGACATCACGCTATACAAGCCAAAATCGACTCGAAAATAGGAAATTAAGAAATAAACACACCGCGATAATAGCGCCTCTCGTTTTGTCGTCACTTCTACTTTTCGACATGCACTTTGGCTTATATAGCTGGTTGTCGACTTTCTATGGAAGCCTATACAAAAATATGACTATGTCGAAAGTCGGCAATACGCTATACACGTCAAAATGCAAGTCGAAAAGTAGAAGTGACGACAAAACGAGGGGCGCTATTATCGCGGTGTGTTTATTTCATAATTCCCCATTTTCGAGTCGATCTTGGCTGTCGCCTCATATTTTGTCGTAACTTCTACTTTTCGACTTTCGCGTTCTGAAGGGGAGAAACGTAGAAATTAGGAATGGTAGTTATAGGCTTCCATATTAGGCACATTAGAGTCGACATCACGCTATACAAGCCCAAATGGACGGTGTTATGCAAATGTGATTTAACCCCAAATTTGAAGTTTTGAGAAAACACCGAAAATAGAAAATAGAACCCATTCAAATAAAGAAAAAACTTCAAAGTCCCAGAAAACTTTTGTTACTTTAACATCATGAAATACAATATAGGACTAAAATGTACTAAAATAATAGTTGAAATATGGAATAGTAACCATGGTAACGCATGAAATGTGATTAGGTAATTTTTGCGTAACTTCCAACCAAAATAAACTTAATTTGCGTAATTTTGCCTCAAAATGATACAATTGATTAAACTAATTATTCATCACTAAACTCCAATTCAAAGTCTATGATTCCATTAAAGCTATCAATGTCTTTTCATAAATTTTTGTCACAATCAAAGCCAGTATAAAACTGTGTGCTATCACCAGGAATAATGTGCTTCAAATTTTGGATATCCTACGCACAGAAATTAAATAGAGTGTGGTGAGGTTGTGGTGAAATGCGGGAAAACTCTTTTAAGTGAGAAGGCATTTTCATGTTCTCACTACGCGTACACAATGCCCCCGCTACGCTCTTGGCACACACAATTTGCGCCGCGCAGCAACGTCCCCACCGCTCTCAACCACTTTGCTGCCACAGAAGGCCACGCTGACACGACGCTCCAGCCCCATCATTGATACGCTGTTACAATGATTTCACAATGATTAGTGGATCATTGGTCTGTAGGGCAGATACTGAGCCTCATATTAGGAGATCTAAAAAATAACCTAACTTCACACATAAATCACGACTTTGCTACGACCTAAAAAAAAAATCTGCCAGATCGTGTTTGAAAGCGGCATGGACGTGGCGAGATCTTTGTGAGCATTGTATCGAGAGGCAGTGAAAGCGGGGACAATGTAGTGGAAGCGATGCATATACTGAGAGCTGAGCGGGATGTGGGGAGAGGGGATGGGTTGGGGGCGGGGGGCATAGCGAGGACTTTGTTTTGTGTGAAGGGGACTATACGAAGCCCGTAATAGAGGCGTGAGAGCGTAGCACGATCTGACTGGTCTAGAGGGAGCTTGATGAGATTTTTGTCAACGTACTAAGAGTGCCACCATGGGCGTTCTAACCCGCTCTCTGTACGCTGTTAACACGCATTCTTTTCCATCGGGGATCTGCCTGATTTTTGAAGTGAAAGCAAGGTTTTGGTGTATGTGTGAAGGGGGTACACCTCTCTATTACCAGCATGTAGTCACCAGAAGTAAAAAGGCACAGTTGGCGCTTTAATGCACATTTTAAATCACCAAAGTCGGAATCATTGGGAAGAAAATTGTGACCCAATACCCTAAACCGAAAATGGACATTGTGAAGAGAAAGATCTAACCATCAACATAATTACCAGAAGAATGATCTAACCCACATATAGCTTTGTTATGCAAAATGCATTTTCGGAAATAACAGTGATCTAACCCACTTAGATCAGACTTGTTTAATAAGCAAAAGGAGCCAGAGTATTTTGTAATGGTGTTCTATTAAACAATCTATAAATAACTTTGTTCTATTAATAGATATCGGTTAGAACAATATTGCATATCAATCGTCATGAATTCTTTAATCGAAACATGTACTAAAACCATTTTTGGAAATTTGAGGGTTAGAACACATTTGCACAACACAGTCCAAATGCAAGTCGAAAAGTAGAAGTCACGACAAAACGAGGGGCGCTATTATCGCGGTGTGTTTATTTCGAATCGATTTTGGCTTGTATAGCGTGCTGGGGCGAAAATAGAAATTCCGAGTGGTAGTTATATGCTTCCATAGTCTGCTGTATTTCATTGATTGTAATTCCAGAATTTTTCCAACAACCGAATAGGAACGTATGGTGCCCGACTGATGAAGACTATCATGCAGAATAACAATAAACTTAACAAAATAGATATTTCTGGTAAATATTTCTTTGTGTTTTTATTAATTAACATTTGAACAACTTTACTTGCCATCAGCTATCCTCGTCTGATATGGTGTGAGGGGGACGCTAAAAGCCTCTGATCATCCTGTATTAACCCGACCAAATTTCTTTTTATTATTGGTGTTAAATACACCCCAAACAACGTAAAATTTTTAAGTTAGTTAGTGATAAAAAAACACATTTGTAAGTTAGTTCTGACAAAAACCACGTTTGAACATTAGTTACTGATAAAAACCACGTTTGTAAGTTAGTTACTGATAAAAAAACCCCCAACATTTAACCATTTTTATATTATTTAATGGGTGCCTCTGATAAAAACAGCAGTGTCATTTTAGATGCAGGGTGCGTCTGATAAAACAGCATTTTAAAGATAGTTTCCTGGTGCGTCTGATAAAACAGCATTTTAAGTTAGTTACTGGGCGCTTCTGATAAAAAAACAATAGTCTATGGTTACTGGGTGAGTCTGATGAAAACAACACTTTTAAGTTGGTATACTAGGTACGTCGGATAAAAACAACATTTTTAAGTTGGTTACTGGGTGCGTCTGATAATAACAATCAAAGTCAGTTACTGGGGCGTCTGATAAAAACAACATTTTGTACCCCGTCCAAAATATTCTACTACTATGTTTTATGTTTTTATTGACAGGTAATTGCATAGGTGAAAAGGGTGGACTTTACTGTTCTCATATTATACAGGTAAATGATATTTATTGATGAATTTATATTCGGACACCATGTTGGTGATAAGAAATAATACATTAAAAATTCGGTGTTGTTTCAAATAAGTTTTATCTTGAACATATACATACAATTGCTCAACAGTGTACAATAAAATCTGTTTCAGCATAATATATATCTTAAAGAGTTTAAAATTGGTAATAATAAAATTGGGGATAAAGGAGCCGTTGCAATAGGGAAAGCTTTAGGTAGGTTATATACTTGCATATAATAACTTAATCCACGGTAAAATAATAAAATTGATTATTTAACATATGGATTTAACAAATCCAAAATATCATATATACATTTTAGATTTTTTTAAATATAAAAACTCTGGACATGGCAGATTTAATATTCGCGTCTACATTTTATTTTAAATTTATATTAAAGCCATGTTTTAAATGTATAATGTTTGATTTTATTTAAGGTAATAATGTTACGTTAGAATTATTAGATGTCAGCTGGAATCATATACAGTTACCTGGAGCTTTGGCTATAGCACGGGGGGTTAAGGTAGGCTGTTTCAAACTACGTGTAAACTGTAGTTTTGTACGTTACTACATGTAGGGGTGTGACCATTGATAAATGTCGGGATTTTATCCAAGAATACATTCTTACTTATCAATCTTATGGACGTGGTTGGACAAGGTTCTCAGTAAACCAGCAGGTTGGAACCTATCAAAATTCAAAATGCTCGAATATTAGAATTCGTATGCAACCCGTAGTGTTATTACGTTTCTTTTTTTATGTACTTTTGTTAAACTTTGGTTTTGTAATGTACTCGTCGGGATTTGATTATAAAGATTTTAGAACTAACGTGGATCACTTTGCAGTTGGTCGGTGTTTTATGAGGTTGGACAAGTTTTTCGATTTGAATTCGTCTAAACCATTGCTGAGATACTGGCGTTTTAAATTCCATTTTACGAATCGTTGGCATATAAACGTTCCGGTGTTATTCAAGTCCTGTATGTTGCTTCTGTAGAATACGTCATTCGTATTAGGGCAAATAATAGAGCGAGTCTTGGGTTATTGTGAACCTGAAATTATATTTGTTTTCTTGGCGATAATGCCACTTTAATATAAATCCCTGTTTTTAATCTTAATGAACAGAACAATGAACAATTGAAGATATTAAGAGTTGGTATGAATGGTTTTAGTAAAGCCGGTACACAAGCTTTAGTAGAATGTTTACACAACACCAGTATTATAGAACTAGATTTAAGCTCCAACAGAATTGGAGTCGAAGGTGCTAAACTGATCGCAGATGTATTAAAAAAATCAACAGTACAGAATCTGAACGTAAGATTTTATCCTTTTTGGGTTATTCTGGGTTCATACGACTAAACATAGCGCCCCCTCCTACTAATATCTGTACGTATGCTTATTGTTAGATACGGACATACGGAGCTTTCTAGATAAGCTAATAAGTTACATGTAAATAAATTTAAATGTGTTAGTATGTCGTAAACCGTGTGTATCATCCAGCAACTAACGATCTTCAGACTGATTTGTTTTGGCTTTTCAGACGTATGCGGTAGTATGCTTTGCTTCCATTTCCTGGCAATCTATCTTATTTTTGTATTAGTTATTCAAAAATTATTGCCCTTCTTTACATTGTTTATTGATAAATCAAAATTAATACATTGCTTAAAGTCCTTGTTGCTTATATTACAGCTATCAGGAAATCCCTTAACACCAGAAGGTGCTAAACGTATTCTTAATACTGCTAATGACTGTAGTCAATTAGTTTATCTTGACTTACAGGTAAGATTATATATAGTCAGGTTTCATAAAACGTTAGGGGTCGAACTGGGGTTTGCTACAATACTCCCTTCGTCAATGCAATAATGCAATCTAATTAAAATACAGACCAATATGTCGTTTCGTTTTTTATACCTTCCATGACCTCGACTATATGAAGATCTGACTAGTTGTAGTAGGAGGACGCGTTAGGGGTCATACGAGCAGCTTTTGACCCTATGACGCCAGCCATTTATTAACCATTCAGCGTTGATGTTTCAAGTGGGTATTTTTAAATACAACGTTTGATTTGTCTTCTCTGTGATTGTGAATGTCTACCCACAGTTCCGTGCACCGCACAACTAGAACTCACCACAAAAGACAATTTCATTGGCCAATCCCTTACATCAAACAGAACACAGGTTATAAAACAACTCTTCCAGGTCCTTGTGTAGTGAAGGCAAGTAAATCAAAATTCTGAACTATAAAAAACGGCACGAAATAGGATCTGTGTTTTAATCAAATTGTGCAATAATCGGACTCATATTTGTCCCGACGAAATGACTAGAATCACTTCATAGTCAGATACCACATACTTGAATCCTAGCAATGTGATGTAATGGTGCATTTTAATAGAGTATGTTTGTCATGGCGGCTTTTACAGTTTGTATTGCACACACTGTCAACAAAACGACGCACTAAAATTGGACGCACTATCAATTTTTACAAGATCACGGATGTCTGTGCATGGAACTGAACCGCCAACACGATCATGTGTTAAATGAAAATACCCCACGACCATCTAAAAATAATAGGCTGATACACGGAAGAATTATGACCATTCGCGTGAGACTAGAAATCTCGAGCACAAGCTCTGATTTGAACCCCCGGGGTCTCCTAATTGCAACCCAAATCAGATGGCAAATAGATAGCGTTCAAGTTCCAAATACATGTTTATAGCAGATTGGTGTAGGAAAAAACATATAACACTCTAAAAAATATGCCTTCAACATTAGGTTCATATATTTACAGAAGGTTGTTATTGATGATGAATTTATAACAACAGCAGAAAATATGAAAACAAGCAACAATATCGATATTAGATATTCTTATGAACCGTGTAAGAGAAAAAGTTCACGAGAACTGTCTAAATGTGAACTAGAAGAACTGGCAACAATACTGATGGATACTGGTGTTCTGATCAGAGATATATTTGATGACGTCATCAGTGCCAATTCTAAGATGCGCGTGGAAGATTTTTTGTATTTGATTGAGGTAAACTTTTATTTTTTTGTTACCACCCGATTGTTGTTGAAACTTTTATGACCCTTTTTAGTCTGTATATGATTGGATATTTACGGCGCTTGCATCACGTGGTTTGTTGATATTTCGGAAATTATTTCAATTTGGGTGGCCATGAAATTCATATAGTTTATACGATGTCTTGAAATAAACAAAATTATCGAGTATGCCGCGGTTGGTTTGAAAAGCGAAATATCCCCCAAGTTTGATAATCGAGAGTCACGGCTGTGCAAGAAAGATATATTTGGCGTTAGAGCTAGAATTGCGGCGCGTCAGCATTTTACAGCAACTGGTTATGCCTCCGGTTTTACAAATGGAACACTAATGTTAATTTTGTGTTTATCGTCTATTTAAGATGTCAGAAAGGTGCAGCGACGATACCTTTAAGGCTCTAAAACAAAGGACAACACAAACTAGAAATCACAGATTTATATTAAAGTAAGTACCAAAAGTTTTAGAAAGAGTATGCATATTATAATACATGTATAGTCTTTATCATGAACGAGTCATAATACAGACTGTACATAGACGTTTCACACGCCCATATTTCATGTAAGATAAGAATATATATGTTGAATTCAAAGGCGCTTAACAACATTTTGCTGAGTTACTGTCCATGGAATAGAAACCTCGCAATCCTTCAAAAGGTCAGAGTTTGGGGTATTTTCGAACTTGTTGGATTGTTTAGATAACCCCGCCCAAGAAGCAATACCACGGCGCACAAATTTTGCTGAGATAACGTCGACAGGTCAGATTTGCTGTGATTGTTCCGTTAGTCCGAAGAAGGAACCCATTGTAATTGAGACTTGCCCATCAATTTTCCATGTTACTGCTAGTGAAACTTCAAATCCGCCTTTCAAAATGCTTCTGGTGGGCGTATATTAAAATTTGTTGCCGATCAACACCATGTTTACCGTTAGGTGGCTTTATAGTGTGCAAAAATGGTCCGGTTTCGATTTTAATTTTTATTCCTCTCGTATTTTTTCCAGAGATTTATTAGCCATAGAAGATCATAACTTGTCCGGTGGTGGATTAAACCAATCATGTACAACAGACATAAATACTTCTGCAACTGAGAGTATAATTCGTCGAGATATTGAAGACGATATAATATTACCAAGCCCTACTCCATCATCTCAAGCAAAAAACAAAAGAAAAACAAAAAGGTCTAAATCGAGAAAGAATAACAATTGAACAGTTATTAGCATAGTAACCGAGGGCTATTTTTTTGGGAAAACTATTTCTTTTATATTTATGTCCAGGCAAACTATTGTAGTGGGCTGATAACCCTTTTATAGTAACTATCACAAATGTTTCAGTGGTGAAAAACTAATGCCGGGTGCACATCGAGTCAAATAAACAAGCTTATAACAAATTCGTGTAGCAACGATTTGGTTAAAACCAAGAATAAATTTCTTTAATATGTTTATTTATCGTTTGTCGTTTACCTTCACAAAGGCCTGTACTGGACCAAACTTTATGCCAATGCAGGCCAGTATCGCGGACAGTCATAATGTGGACTATCATAAGTTAATGTTCCTCTCAATCCAAGGAAATTGTTGTTAATATGTGGGTCGAACATGTTGCTTGTACAAAATTACACTGACAGGGAGACGAAAGAATTTAGCAATTTTCTTCAATTTACTTTAGGCTGCCAATTTAAATGGTGTGATTTGTCAATGATTTTATTCCCCGCTCGTGGCGCTATTTGGTGGTTTAATACATATTTGTGTCTGACTATATGCAATCCCTGTTTCTAATATGCCGACAGTACATAATAAACTCACCAGTTTTCTGTTTATTTGAATACATGTGCCCGGGTTAAGATTTTTACTACTAACACATTTGTGCTATATAACTGATGAAAGGGGACAGGTTGGCTTGGTCCGCTCTTCCTACAGTTCCCCCTTTTCTGGCTTGACTACACTCTGACTTTTAAGTTGATTTATTTGTAGCACTGTGCGTGCTATGAGTCGCTGGTTAGATGTGGAAAGACGACAGAAAAACTCGACACATCCAACGTGTGACGCATACTCTCTTCTGCCACATATTTTAATAGCCTTGAGATCGTCTAGCAATTGTAATTCTCTTCTTTGGATTTCTTTTCACGTTGTGTATTTTCTTCTTTCTATCTCAGTAGTTAAGACGTTTGTCTTACGAGGAATAAAAAGGAATCAGTTCGTTTCCACATTTTATGTCAATCACTGGATACATAAGTTACAAGTATAGATTACAACACAATACTTAAAATTAACTTGTCTTTCTCTCCACCCCGTAATTTACTGGCGGAATGCCCACATCATATGACTCTCCTACAAATCAACGGGGTCTACTCATCCCAGCTGGTGTACCTTGAACCTTGGCGATCTCTCTCGAATTTAGCGGCTGTCTCCCGAACACCAAGAGCTCTGGTGGTTTTCTACCCTTAGGTTTCGGCTTTCATTTATCTAATTGGTCAAATGTGATGCAATTAATTATAATGATTGGTTACTAAGCCAAATCATGCAATAGTAATTTTCCACCGCGACTGATCTGGTGATATTTTGTTTTTACACAGAACTAGCTTTGTCTTGGTTTTAAAAATCTGTTTATGTGTCAATTCATCACTCATTCATTTGAGTAACTTTAGATATGACTTCTATACAGTGTGTGAATCTGATAATTAGTTAAAGATACAATATGGTCGCAAAGACCACTGTACTACACATTTCTTCAAATTTATAATGTATAAACCATTGAAAATGAAACTGCCTATTTGTCATAGCTACCAATTTTTCATTTGTAAATAAACAGACCAAAAAAATCGAAAACAAAGACTTAAATGAAGCTGTTGTTTCTCTTGAAACACAAATCTAAACTGCAACTCCATTTACTGCCTGTTAATAACACTTCTCATTTCATTGTTGATTGTATTCATCTCACGAACATTGTATTGTTCTTTATTGCTCAATAAAAATAGTCATAAGCATTTTTAAAAAGACCAGGTGTTAAGCTGATATTCGTTTGCCAGAAACCTTTCAGTTGGGCACCTTTACTTCCAGACCTTGCATAGGTACGGGAAAGTGTCGTAGTGAGGGGTGCAATATTGTTGCTATAATGGACATCTGATTTTTTAAAAACAGATTATATGAGTACACATTGCGAGTATATAATTTCTTATATAATTTGTTGTTATTTTTTAGATATGCCTTTAATAAAATAGGAATACAGTGTACAGTGTTATTATATACTCTTCAAAAAAAGTAGGGAATATTCAGAAACGATACAAAACTGCGGAAATCCACTGCTGTTTTCATTACAGGTGACCAGTGTAATAACAGGCCAATTGCCTACACATGAACATAAACAGTTCATATGGGCGGCTTATCGGACGGCCCCATTTCACTCGCAAAGAGATACACTGCCAAATATGAAAATGGACGTTTTTGATTTTCGTCTTAATAATGAGTAATTGCTCCACCAATCCTCAGACATTCAGCAATTCGTCGTGCCATGCTCCTAATCAACCGTCCAATCACGATTTGGGGCAATCTAACCCACTCCTCTTGCAGTGCCACGGCCAATTCTTGCAGTGTTGTCGGTTGACGTTGAGGTCGACGATCACGTCTCCCGATCATGTCCCAGACATGCTCTATAGGTGAATGGTCAGGACAGGTGGCTGGCATATGGACAATATGGTGACGCTGGAGGTAGTCTTTCACGACACTAGCGCGGTGGGCACGGGCGTTATCATCTTGAGAGATTGAAACGTCGACCTTTACGTTGAGCAAAGGGCAGAACTATCGGTGCCAGGATGTGGTCACGGTAGTACACACCAGTGACAATTCCTTGAACCATATGCAAGTCCGTTCTGCCAGTCATGGTGATTTCTCCCCACACCATAACAGACCCACGCCCGAATCTGTCATGCTGTCTGACGTTAACGTTAGCATGAGGCTCATTTACACGCCTCCAAACGCGAGCACGCCTATCGGTGAAATCCAGAGTAAATCTGGACTCATCTAAGAACATTACATGCGCCCATCGACGACACCCCAATTTCTACGCTGTCTACACCACTGACGCCTGTTTGCCATGTGCTGGCGAGTTAATGTATGCACAACACGCGGTCGTCACGCATGCAAATGGGCTGCATGTAGCCGATTTCTAATCGTTTGGATGTAACTCGAATTCCTGTAACTTGGTACAAGTTTACAGAAAGCTGATTGGCCGTTTGTCCTCGATTTCGCAGGACCTGTGTACGAATGTATCGATCCTTGCCTTGTGTTGTGGCTCTAGAAGGACCTGAACGAGGTCTATCATCAGCATTGTGTGTTTGTTGTTACCGGTTCCACAGTCTGCTGATCACAGACTATGACACATTAAGCATGTTGGCTACTGCTCGCTGTGTAGAACCCATTTGAAGCATGCCAATAGCACGTAGACGTTCATCGTGTTGAAGACGTCTCATTGTAAATTAAAGAGAGAGAGAGAGAGAGAGAGAGAAATGGGGTTTAACGTCCACTCGACACAAACTAGGTCATTTCGGGACTAAAATATGGTTTAATTTTATTTCAATAATTCGCTTGCGCGTAGGGGTCTTTTTGCAGTGAGAGGAAACCGAAGGACCCGGAGAAATCATTGTAAATTAAGCGTAAAACACTAAAGCAAAGATACGCTAAACAGTAAATCTTATGCAAGAACCGATAGGAAAGCAAATATGGATAGGATAAACCAGCACGCGGCAGTTTTCATCAACCCTTCCTTGAAGTGTCAAATTTGACAATGAACCCCTCCAAAATGTATGGCGCTATTGCGTGCGCACGTGCAGCTCAGTGGTTCTGTTGGGGCGAGATAAGTTCTTCATCTGTGAACATACTCTCAAAGCATGTCAAGTGTCCATGACTATTTATCATATCACAACCTGCATAGGTATTTGCATTTAAATATCCCCTACTTTTATTTAAAAGTATATTTCTCCTTGTATGTTTATTTATCAATTGCAATCTTCCTCGCAAAGACGTGCTGGTGGGGGGGGGGCGGTAAGTAGACCAAACTTGGGGCACCCTAGAGGGCGGCATGTTTTTACAGCCCCGGGAAATTTTGGGCTCTCTGGCAGATGCTAGAATAGATCTGACGTATATATGAGCCATGACATACCAAGAAAAGGGGACTGGTATTCCTTATAAAGGGTACCTGCCAAGTTACATTCGATTCTGTTCGCAAATGAGGGAGGAGTAGCACTTTAAGGTAAACTGACACAAGATGACAATCGAGATCTAGACACTCACACAAGATGATGATCGAAATTTAGACACTGACTGTGGCTCCAGCATTATCAAACATTTCCAGATTGTTTGTTTTTTTGCATTTATGAGGGCAAGGTTGTGTATGTGTGTGTGTTCGTCCATCACGATTCGTCGCCGCAATCCACCCCCATTTATTTATCAAATTAACCAGCTTAATCTCGTGAATTTTTTAGACCATCGAATTTGGGCCCCGGGCGAATTGTGGCCCCCGAAAAATTTGGCCCCTCGGCGAATGGGTCTCCTTATCAATTTGGGCCTCTGGCGAATTTAGGTTCCGGGTTAAGTCGGGTATTCTACTAGTGTAGAATAGTAGCTTAATTTAAACGTTTAATCGAGTTTAATTCGTCGCGTAGAATATTATCTAGAGTCTAGTAAATCTAGCGGATGATAAGAACATGCGTGAAAGTGAAACTGAAAGGTGAGTGGTGTGAGCTGGCGACAGTGTACTGATGCCTTCATCCTTAATTTTGATTTAAACAAAAATTCCGAAAGCATAAAGGACAAGGGAACCCTCGAAATTTTGGAAATCCAATAATGGTACAGGGTACAATGAGTTATCTCCCTTTTTGGTAAATATCAATAATTATTGACAAAAGTATTTAGTTTAAACAATTTATTCGCTAAACTGAATAGGATTTAACAACAGGCAATTAAGGGTCTATAATATAAGTTCTCCCCAATATTATTTCTACTATAGTATCTGTAAACCTTTATTTTACATAGGAATTGGGGATAAATATTTAGTTTTCTTACATTGAATTTAAAAATTTAAAATTCAGCCAATGAGCAATCTTTTCTTGGATTAACTTTAATCAGTCCGTTAACCAAGGGACAATAAAATTGACTTTCCAGAAACAGAAATTTAACGGACCGTTAACAAACGAAACGTTAGCAAGATAACGATCCGTTCGAGTTTAACGGGTCGTTAAAATAATTTCGTTTTGAGCACCCGGTCACGGGATATTAATTACACAGTACCCCTATCGGCTATCACTTTCAACAAATGAACAGGTCTACACGCCAGTATAACTTAGTTGATGCACATCGTTGGTCCGGCGACCGCCAGTTCAATGCCATTGGTCCTACAAGGGCCATTTTATTGCTCCATTATTACAGCTATACACTCGTTTCGGAATAATTAACTTTCGATGGGCTGAATATCAAATTTTGTTAATTGCATTTTAGACAAATCCTTAAACTTTGGAAGCCCATTAGAGTATAAAGGTTTGTCATAGAGGCAAGTGTTATGGTTTTCGCTCTCCGGCTTATAATTTTACGTGACAATGAGTTGGGTAGTTTGCCTAAAATGCGCGCGCGTCCAACACGATTATGTTGATGATAGTTGATAATAATTTTACATGGAGTTTAATTGGAACATACCAGGTCATTCTGAACATCTGAGACACGCTACCTGCGGAGAAGTATCTCAGACACAGTCAATAGCCATCTTATTCATATCACGTGATCTACACATCACAGGTCATGACATTAACGTCAATGGGTCATGAGGTCAACAACACCTTACATTGTATACAATAGGTTTATCTTCAGCATTATGTCCTTTGCACCCATAAAGACTATATAATTCGTACAGTCCCAACATGTTCTCTCTTTTCCAATGATTTTTTTTACAAAAATAACATTTACAACTCATAGAATTGACGTTGTCTTCAATGACACTATTGACAGCGTCTGCAGCCATCTTGGCACTATTTTGTGCGTCGGTCGTGTCTATTTCAGATATAAACAATCAATTCTGTTTATGTTTTTAGCGTTGGGATTGACTAATAGTTAATTTATTTCAGTTCTAAAACAAATATTTTAAACTTTAACGCAAATTTAGAAAATAGCCAAATTCTGGCTGGGATTACTGAGCAAAATGGCCATTCACTGTATACGTGCGAAAAAAAAGCTAGCCACCAATAAATTTTCGGACGTTAGTTACGTACGCATACCAGGTCTGACTGCATCAAGATCATGAATAATATATTTTTTTTCTACAAGATTACGAAGGTATTTTTATTTTCTTTCCGTTGACCACATCTAAAATGTTGATCATTTGGCTACATGAACAGTAAAATTAGAATGGGGGTCTTTGAAACTTTAGGCAGTGTTGTCGGTTGACGTTGACGAAAACGTCCCCCGATCAAATTAAACGTAACACACTAAAGCAAAGATACGCTAAACAGTAAATCTTATGCAAGACCCGATAGGAAAGCAAACATGGATAGATAAACCCGCACGCGGCAGTTTTCATCAACCCTTCCTTGAAGTGTCAAATTTCACAATGAACCCCTCCCACGTGCATGGCGCTATTGCGTGTCGCATGTGCCGCTCAGTGGTTCTGTTCGGGCGATAAGTTCTTCATCTGTGAACATACTCTCAAGCATGTCAAGTGTCCATGACTATTTATCATATCACAACCTGCATAGGTATTTGCATTTAAATATCCCCTTCTTTCTTTGAAGAGTATATTAACGACCAAATATGTGGTTAAATTTATCTAAAAAATAAGATAGATAAATTTTACCACGTGTTTGGTCGTATATTTAGATAAATTTTACCACATATTGACTCGTTTTGTCCATTGTGGATTTTGGCAGTTTTAGTTTAAGTCCGTTTTGACCACATCCAGTTTGTAGCGTCTGCTGTTCCAAAATTTTCAAATTCATCACATTATTATCTTTACAAATAATGAACAGAATTGGACCATTTTTTGGCTTGTATTCATTTTAAAGATTAAACTTTCTCAGTATTGCATTTTGTAAGCGTTTACCACTCCCTCAAATGAATTTGGGGAACTTGTACCGTGACAAAAGATTAATTCTAATAGTTCGGATTTTTGTCTAACCTTTCCTGCCATAAACTTACTTTCTGGTGTTTTTCTTGACCCTGTCACTGTCAGCCATGTTGATGAACTTACCTCACATATTAAATCTTTCACAATATTGTAGTTTACAAGAGAATAACAGTCTCTCCAATGACATTGGTGGGCTTTAATTAATAAATCAAACGTGCCGCAAGAAAAGATTAGTTCACAAAGTTTACAGTTTTATCTTTAGTTTGCATTTTTATCTAACCTTTCTCGCCATAAACTTACATTCCGATGTTATTGTCGCCCCCTAGTGGGAATTTACCTTGACCCTGTCAGCCATGTTGATGAACTTACCTGTTGCAATTTTCGGAGGTTCCCCCTAAATATTCACCAAATAGTGGATTAACGATGTGAAATAATTATACAGCGATACATATTTATGTTTTGGGAATATAATTTTGTTGAAAAGTAATATATTTCCAATCTTTCGCAACGTGCTGAAGAGGATTGTTTTTAACTGGTCATCAGCCGAGTTCTCACGAATGACAAAAGTTTACGTTTATTGACAATATTTGACATTCACATTGCAATCATTGTAGTTGAATAACTTCATTTTCGTGCTGACTGACGCCATATGTTGCTGTCAGTTCTAGGCCTAGTGTTTAACAATTAATTCAAAGTTTTGCTTGATTTAAAATCTAAGATGGAGTGGGAAAATCAACGTGTGAGCACTCCATCAACACCAAACAGTGTTGGAAGCCATTCAACTAGTTCATCAAGGCCGCCCTCTTTCAAACCCATGCAGCCTAGTTCATCTATCAGTGCCTTGGCCAAATTAACAGATGAAGACTTAAGAAGAAAGGGGGTAGATGATTTAACTAGAATAATAAGACGCGTTGAGAATGATTATAAAGTGTTGATGGGGGAACAAGGTCACATGGTTAAGGAGGTAACCCGTAAAATGCAAATTTACCTGATGGAAATCCGCGGATTGAAAGAAAATAATCAGAAAGTTCAAGAAGAGTGTCAAGAATTACGCGATCTGTGTTGTTTTCTTGATGATGACAGGCAGAGGGGAAGAAAACTAGCCAGAGAATGGCAGAGATTTGGTCGCTATACTGCAAGTGTAATGAGAAGTGAAGTAGCTGTCTACCAAGATAAACTGAAAGAACTTGAACAAAAGCAAGAGGAATTGATTTCACAGAATATGGAACTAAAGGAATTGTGTTTGTATTTAGATCAAGAGCGTATTCATATGACACAGGATCGTGATGATGGGGATGGTAGTAGTAGTGGTACTATGGCTGGTCAAGAAGATGGAGTACATTTAACAGAAAATGATAGACAGCAAACTCCTACACAAGCTAACACATCTAATAGTTAGTACAATATGAAATCATTTCATTAATTAAAAACTGTATACTATTAGTATTATTACTATATAATATTGACTAGGGGAAATAGATACATGTTAATGATTGAAGGCCACTTTTTTTTTTAACAAATTTATCTGCATTTCTGAAGCTTTTGCATTTATGCAAAAAAAGTATAGTATAAAATAATAGTTACATTTAATTTAGTAAAGAAGTATACCGAATTCAAGTAACTGTCCTTAACAATATATGTACATTTAAAACTTATATGTTAAAGACTCATAACAGTCATAGGTATCTTTTCAGTTGTTGTTGAGTAAAATACAATTTTATACAAAGGTACATGTATAAAAGGTTTGATCCCATGAACAACCTGCTTTAGTTAAACAACACAGTGGTATGAATTTGTGTCATATCCCTTGTACATAGTTTAAGTTTCTAGGTCACTATAAACATGCGGGACATGTTTGTTAGATGTTAAACTTTTATGGTCTCCCCTCTTCTTTCATTAATATCTCCATTGTTAAATTTCCAGTAAACAAATATTTGTCTTGATCAGTATATACAATGCTAAGCTTTGTAATGCTATAAATATTGATATACATGTAACGTACGGGTACCTAGTATATAAAAAGGGAAACACTCATCAAAATTGAGTTTTGGCATTATGTCCCTTTTAATAATTGAATATTTACCTTATTTATTTCTTTCAGTTCCAGATCATACAGCCCAGTATATTCGCCAGTTAGAAGATAAATTAAGAATATTAGAAGATGACAGAAAACAGTTAGCCCAGGTATTGAATAATTGATCTATAATTCTACATTATTGTTAGTATTAATATTTTGTATGTGAGCATTATATATTCAAAAGTTGCATAAAATATTCTTATGTGATTATATCTGTATAATTCTAATGATTTAATAATTTCAGAGAGTTGAAAGAAATGGTGCTGAAGGTTTTCGAGCTAATGATCGTAATACAAACAATACAAATAGTGCAAAATCTGATTTACTACAGGTAATTTTAATTTTATATTTTTTAAATCTATGAAATGCATGTATGTATGGTGTATGTAAATGTTCATGGATTTTGATATTTAAAGGGCATTTCTTTGTCAAAAGATTGGATATCACATATGATTATTCTTAATGGGAGGTAACTGCATTCTCTGGCCTCATTGCCATATTATCTCCCCTTAGACCACAGATACTAATGACTGGATTTTAAAAAATAATGTAAATGATATTCTCCTTGTTTATTTAGTGAAGCATGAATTTGTTTATTTATAGGATCGAAAATCATCACCCAATACTAATCCCTCTCCTTCCAATACATCCAAACCAGAAGCTGTTGTGCATGCTATGAAGGTTCGATATGTTTTAATACATAATTTGTTTCAGAATAATACTTACTTAAAAAATATTGTTTTTTAATTTAAAGAAAAAAGTATTTTAAAGACTCATAAAATTAATTGCATGGAATATAAAGCTGTGTCAGTCTACACTTTGCACCCATGCATATATTTATAATTTCAATTTAAATATTCTAGACAAATGTTTGATAACACACATACTAATAATTATTTGTAATTGAATGATATGTTAATTATTACAGGTTCTACAAGTACATGAACAACTAGAGAGGTCTCGTGGTGAAACTGGAGATGAAAATTTAGATGATAAAGAATTGGCTATTGTTAGAGAAATGTGTAATGTAAGTCTCTGCTATTCAAAGTTTACTGAACAGTCTTTAGTACATCGTAGTTGAAAACTATAATATTGGTTCCGGAATTTTTAGTTGGGAGTACCATGAAAAATAATTATTTTTTATGAAACCAATTTCAACACAGATGCTTGTTATTTGGCAGTTAAGTTTTATCAAATGTACGCAAAAGATTACTTCTTAAATTTATACTGCATAGCCATTGCTTTTTTTTTTAGGTTGTTTGGAGAAAATTGGGTGATGGGAGACCCGAAAATCCAGGATCAAGACAGGGTCATCAAGCTCCTACACAACAACAACAACGTCCCCCACCGTATAATGCTCCGCCATCATCGCGGCCGCCTAGTACTGTAAACCAACCTACACAACCTTCAAACGCTTACTTATCTAATCATCAATTCCAACCCCATCACCATGGTAACAGGGATCCCAACTCTTATCATCCCTCTGCCCCTCCTCCCCATCATTACTCTAATCAGCATATAGCTGGACATGTTGACCCTCCCCAACATCATCACACCCAACCCCCACCATATCAAAACACACGACAGCCAGCTTCATCAAGATCGCCATCTTACTTTTTGGATCAAAATGATCCACCTCCTCCGCCCCCTCCCCACATGCCTTACAATAATCATTCCTCGGGCCAGCTTAGTTCTAGGCCACATGGCCATCACAGCTTACCCCCACCTCCTCCTCCCCCTGCATCATCAAGAGGTGAATATTATCATCAAGAATGGCGTCAGACTTACATGGATGGAAACAACCCACCTTAAATTAAATTGCATCATGAAAATTGTACATTTGTAATTTTAAAAAAAAACAAAACTAAAGTGATTTTTTGAGTATAAAATGGATTAATTTCTTTTTCTTGAATATTGGGAAAATATTAGCTGTCTTGTAAAGACTTGTAATGAATAAGATTTGGGGATAACTTAAAAGCTTTATTATATAGTTGTTAAATGGCATGGAGAAAACACATTTACTTTTCTTTATGTTACTCATGAGGGCAAATGTGACAGTATTATTTTCGGTGCGAAACTCATTAAATTTGTCTGTTATTTGAAGTCAGATTTTCTCACTAACATATAAATGAACAAATTGTTTGTCTCATAATTAAGTACGAATCTAGTCCCAATAATGTTAATAAATGAAAAACAGCGAATTGTTTTGAATATACTGCTAAATAAATTACTTTATTAAAATGGTATTTGTATAAGCATATTGTACACAATATATTATATCAAATCTTTTATATTCTTACATAACATATTTATATACCTGAAACAACCTGCATTATATTTATAATCTCATTATTGCTATGCTTGATGATAGGTAGGGAACTTCTCTTAAACATACATTATGCAAGAGCTAAATCTGCCTATTGCAAGTCTTTATTTAGGTTTCAGATTTTATAGAAATTATTAATTAGACCTTTATTTACATGACAAGCTCAAAATCAACTCTGTAGACCCTTGGATGGCTTGGATACAGCTTGGATTTAAACAGTTGTCCATTTAAAATTAAATCAATAAATGGCCTACCAAGCTAACGTTTACCGTTAGTCACCGATGTTGCATCTGGAGACACCCGATGAAAGGCCTACAAATCGAGGGTACCATAGCAATTGAGAATGTTACTTGATAATCGAGAATATGTGTGTGAAGTTATCGTCTGTCAATCAAACGGCAATTCTCGTAGATGGTGCAGACACAGTTGATGCCTGTTTCTAGTCCAAAATTCCAACAGTGACGACTCCGTTCAGAATAAAGTAATTTAACGGAAATTTTCATTATAAGCTTTTTTTTATCCTCTATTTTTGAATTATTATAGCAAGAATGGCCAACTCTTTATTAAACTCTTAACTAATATATCTTTAAACCAGATCGTATATATATATATATGTACATCAGGGGCCTTATCATTCTTGTCAACTTTTAATTCCTTGCTAAAAAACCCTACACGCAAACGAATTATTGAAATATAATGAAACCAGTGAGTTGGTCCTGAGATGACCTAGTTTCTGTCGTGTAGACACTAAACCCCCATTTCTCTGAGCACAGTAATCTATATTATATTTTCAATAGGCTTAAGTTGTTACTAAATATTGAGCCTTTTCCAAAAATGTGGTTGTTTGAGTGGGCTAATATTGTAATTGATGTATTCTTGGGTCAATACTTAATCAAAATGTATTAAAACAGCATATACCTGGTATTATACATCATAGGGATAAAGTTCAGTTTATTACAATATTATTTTTGTGCACCCCTCACCCTACCAATTCCCATATCCACCGAAATCTGCCATTGGTATGAATGAGGTATTACAAGCTAATTTTGTTCAGAATATATCATAATAGAACATTAATTGTTCTGTTTAAGGAAGCATTTAAATAACACTGCCTTATATATATATATAATAGCTAATATAAAGGGTTTTTTTTGTTTGCTGTAATTCATTAAAGCACTACTGTATACTCATTTTATTTCGCATCATGGCAATACACAACAAATATTCATTTTTTCTTTACGAAAATAATAATTCACACAATTTTTTTATTAATGATTATTAATTTGTCGCAGATAACAGAAAGTGAAATTTACATGTAAATAATATATTGACCTTTTACAATCAAGTTATTATTTAGTGCCTTTATTAAAGAAGAGGGTATGGTTTTACCCTTTAAAATAGCTGCCTTAAAATATTTTGAAAGGGTTCACATATCTGGGTTTTTGATGTAACAAAAAATCTATAAGGACTCTTGTGTAGGTGTACCCATACATATACTACAGTTGAGAGATTCTGTGAACATACAATATTAATATTATCATGTTTAAAATTGTAAAATCTGCTATTATTGTGGGTTTTTTTTTACTGTATTATTAGGTTAGTGAATAAAATTATTATGTTATTCTAAGTTTTGAGCTGTCTTAGCCTATACTGTCTAAACGCTATATGTGGATAAATACAGTACTTGTATTTGGAGACATAATTTACTATTTATGTAGTATAACTATATATACATATATAGGTATTTTGAAAATATAAACTCCGCCAGTGGCGTATTTTTGAGGAATATGACACACACACACCCTTCGCCCACCCTTTGGTTTTTCGGAAATGGCCTATCTCTTCCCTGATAATTTTCACTGATGGGTACCATGTGTCATGTATTATGGGGAGACCATATGGGACCCCAACATTTTTGCACCCAACATTCATATGGGCTCAACCATATGGGTACTAAATGGGGTTTGTGTGGGGTCTATATGGGTAGCCATGTTAAGAAATGTAATGTGGGGTGCAAATAAATGCAATATGGGGCTTGCATGGGACCGATATGGCCATGTTAAGACATGTAATATGGGTACTATATGGGATTCATGTGGGGTGCAAATAAATGTAATATGGGCATAATAAGGGACTCATAGGATCTTTGTGTATATGCTATAGTATTTAATATGGGCCCTCTATGGGATTCATATGGGTCTCTCATTTAAATGATAATTAAAGCACAAAGCAATTTGAACAAAGTTTCTTTCGTCTACATATTATAGTTGAACTAAGACTAATTTAATACAAATATCTTCTGAATCTGATGTATGATCATTTTCTATTACATGCTAGGTAACTTTATTTTAATGAATATCAAGTGTGCTACCAAATAAGTCTAATAAAATAACAAAACTATTTATTTGGTTTCATGTTTTATTATTATGCGTTCTCAATTTGGATGGTTGACATTCTTTGGGATCTCCCACCATCCCGTTCCCTGAATTTGTCAGGAAAAGACTAACCGCGGCTTTGTTTTCCTTGTTGGTAGTATTTAAAACATTGGATTTCTTCTGACTGGCTCTGTAATTCAAAAGGAAAGCACATTAGGTCTGTTGATGTGCATCCTGACAAAGCAACACAACTCTTCCCATATTAACCTTAGACCACAAACCACATACAATTCAAATCTAAATTGCACCTGAAATATGCAGAGGGTTCAAAAAGACTTTGAAGATATTTTGATGAGAGATTGTAAAAACATTTAAATAAACCCCATCGTACCAGAACTATTATTTTCATCATGGATATTCACTTATTTCAAACAATGATGTATCATCAATATTACTTAATAAAAACAATGGTAGCTGTAGCATGTGCCCCAAATTCACGCTTGCCCTTTTATCCTGTCCAGTTGTAAAGGCGTTGTACATAAGTGACAATAAGATACTTCATGATGTTGTTAACTGTGGGCACCTAATCGTCCAAGTCGGTTTATCTTAAACAATGAAAAACGAACAAATACGTAAGTGCACTATATATTACCTGCAAAATATCTGCATATCGATATAATTATAATGTAAAGTTATCGATCGAAACTATTTCTTCCACAAATTCTCAGTTACAATGTCATTTGTATTTCGTTGTACAGCTGAGAAAACTTTTCGACATTTTGTCCAGCGAGAGCAAGAAACATATTGTCCCAGTGTTTACCAATATTTTCAAAATAACTGAAAAAAAAGAAACATCTATCCAAATCCATCCTCATACTATTGCAAAACTTTTATATAAGTACTTTGATGCAATGTACATAGGTATATTTCCACACAAAATGATTAAGTCGGTTAAGATACTTGATTAACGCATACTGCAATCACCAACTAACAAAACAATAACCTAGTGGACGTCAATAAAAAAATAATAGTCAGAACTAACATCGATAATAGAAATAATTGCTAAAATATGGCCGACACCAATAAAAGTAATACTGTAATTATGTCCGATATTTTCCATTGAAATCTTTACATTAACGTTGTCTCTTCATGATTTAGGTCTAAATACCAGACATTAATAGGCCTGCATACAGTTGTGCGCAGAGGTTTGATGATGCCCAAGGACAATTGCTTAATTGTATGCTATTGTAAAAGTGGGTTCTTTTGGTTGTTGTTATCTGTATATAAGACGAGATCCAATAGTAATTTATTAAGCGAAGATAATGGTAAAATTTAAACTAGATTATTTATATCTTCCAAAAGTCCCGGTACTATTAAGAATTTCACGTGAAGGATTAAACTCAATTTTGATTGGTGGAAAATAGGTTAAATAGGTCAGGTAACGACATTCTGAGTAGTGAGAAGATGACCCGCCCTCTCTTCCCACGACGGCGCGTCGAATTACTCAATAATACCCAATAACTGCCCAATAACTACAAAATGTTGACTTTGGAAACACAAAATAACAATTTAGTTGAATTAAAGAAGCATCGCTGCTTTGTGTCCAAATCGGAGTTTCACGCTCACTCGCCTGAAGGGAGATAACTGGTATATGTGATTTTTGTTGACAAGAAATTAATAACACCCAATAACTGTCCAATAACACCAAATTGTTAACTTTGGATATACAAAATAACAATTTAGTTGAAATTTTGTGTTTCCAAAGTCAACATTTTGTAGTTATTGGTTGTTATTTTGGAGTTATTAGGTGTTATTGGGTGTTATTTTGGAGTTATTGGGTGTTATTGGGCAGTTATTGGGTGTTATTGGGTGTTATTGGGTAATTCGACGCGCCCTCCCACGACAACGATTTTAAAACCATTTTTAAAACCGTGTTTTAAAGTAATTTTTAGATATACAAGAACTTTTTATTATTTTAAATCTGTTTTAAAGTGACTTTTAGATATACAAGAACTTTTTATTATTTAGTGTTTTTACCTAACTTCTATATTTTACTCATTCATTTGTAAATTATGCATTATGCAAGAGCTAAATCTGCCTATTGCAGGTCTTTCTTTAGGCCTGAAATGTTTTCTAAAGTATTAATTAGACATTAATTAACTGATTCAGCGTCAAGGTAGATTTATGCTTATCAGGGGATTATTCATTCGCTGCCTTTAATAAACATATATACATTTAAAATAAACTATATAATCTATAAACTATACATTCTTTAAAATACATAAAAATTAAATATCTAAAATAAACTATCTGTGCATATTTCATCAATATGCACTCTTACACTATGCCCCGAGGTCTCAAGTACTGGGTCTAGTCTAGCACTTAGAAGTGTTTGAAAGGAAGACATTTCAAATATGTAAAAACGGATCAAATTGCCCCCCCCCCTCCTCCAACAATTCGTGGTTCCCCCTTGTCAGTGATGCAGGACGGAGGGCCTGACAAGGACAACTGTCTAGTCATTCGGATGAGACGAAAAACCGAGGTCCCGTGTACACATTGGCTTGCACGTAAAAGATCCCTTGACAGTTGGAATTCGATATAAGAGTAGGCCGTAGTGCAGCTGTCCGGGCAAAATTTCCCTCATAGCACACTGTATGGCGTATGCCCGTCTTCATTAGCCCAGTTCGGAGCAAAACAGTAGGACGTTAAACCCCATTTCATTTCATTTCATTTCCTCCAACAATTCAAGCTTTATTTCAATCTTTGATTGAATGCCCCATCCTTAAATGGATCCTCAGGTCGTCACCTTCTATGTCCCTCACTGAATGCCACTGCTCGCATGTTTTTTTTATATACGTTATTGAATACTAAGAACTGTTGTTGACACCAGGATCTAGTCTCTCTCTTCAATATTTTAAGTCGGTTAATCTGGGATGGCAAAGAGACGTATTAATCTCGGTTGGAGACTGTTCGGAAATAAACTAGACTCAAGATAAACGGAAAACTGTGAAAGCCTCACATCATTCACAGCATAAGAAAATTGTTGCCTAGCAACGTTATATTTTCATTTTAATAATTAGAAGAAACACTAAGATGAATCATTATGTCGAATATAGGTCATACTGAATAATGCAAATATATTTATAAGGTTTTTGGATATTGTCTAATTAGGTGAAAATTTGTCTTAAAGGGACACTGTCCGATTTGGTGAGCTTGACCATCTCAGGCTTTTGGTTAGATTCAACAATTGAATCAATATATACCGTCCGGATAACCGAAGATTTATTGCTAGCATTTTATTATACCCCCCCCCCCCGTCTGACTGAACATTGAACACTCTAGTTGGATAATGCCCCGTGCTACAAAATGTTGCTGTCTTCCGGGAAAAACCGGACAGGGAAAGTTTTTTTAAAGAAATTGATATAAGAGCATCAGGGTGAGGATGTCCATTTTATGCTAAGTAGAGCGAATTTGTTGATATTCAAATTATGGACTTTGATGATTGCACGTTTTACTATATTGTGCTATACAAATGATGTGGTGGGGGCAAGGTCTCAGAATCATGGTATATAAAATAATTGAGATATAGAGCAGTAGCAAAGTTTTTAAAAACATTAACAAACGTTGTTCAAACAACCCCAGTGATAAAAACTAAAAATATCCCCTCTTAAATATCATAATTTTATGTTCAAATGTTTTTAGTGAAAAAAGTTTCTGGCTGTAAAATTAAATTATTTCTTCCTTAAACCCACACCAATAACGCGTTTTATTTTCTTCCCAAAATCAAAAGAGAAAACAACCTTTTGTATTGATGGTGACGCAAGAAAAGCTACCGAAGGTTCAGAATACGAATCGTTTTTTCACCACAGAGCTTCGCTCAGTGTCAAAATCGGACCCAATCGGCGTTCTACGTATAAAGAGTTCAGCCTCCAAACCTCTTTCAGTCCTTAATTTCTCAAGACAATTACCACTTTATTGAAACATATGTAAACAAGTATGGACAGAATGTCCATGATCAGGCTTATTTTTACTAGACAGGGCCAGAATACAATAACACCAGAAGAATATTGTCTGATTATGCTGAAATCCAATCTCTGTTCTATTTACAAGCACGACTCATTTCATTATGGACATCGCATGTCGTCTTAAATCTATCCAAGAGCTCATTACCGTGTAACTTAATATGACAACTGATGAAAAGATGAAGTTAATTGAGAACATGGAGACTGAATGCAGTGTAACCAATAG